GAGGGTTTGTGGCTGGAGCACAGAGCTCTGTTTGCTGCAGCTTCTGGTGATCACTTTGATTTGCAAATATAGAGGAGTCTCTGAGGCCCAGCTTTAAACAAATTGTGGTGGACAGCCAGAGAGCAGAGCAGCAGACAGAAAGCATGGCCGGGTACTGTGGGGCGGGTGTCTTTGTGGGGTCTCAGTGGAGCCAGGGGGCTCTCAGGAGAGGAAGCAGGTTCAGCCACGTGGACCCCAAATTGCGCTGGAGTCAGGACCTTACATGTGGTGTTAGGCACTTTTATCAGATTATGTAAGTGAAATTAAGACATATGTTGGGTGTATTGTGAGGGATTATTTAAATACATTTAAAAATTACATTTTCCTAAAGTAAGTTTGATGTAAAGAGGTGAGCATATCTTGGAGTTACATATCAGTGGACAAAAATAATTGCCCCGCAAGCAGTGACAAGTGGTGAGGTGTGTGATCATTTTGAAGTCTCTACCTTCTCTTCCAGGTTTCCTCCTGTCTAATACAGGAGACTTGAAGGATTGCTGACATTCCACACAGCTCTGATGCTGTGAAAACCAGCTCTGTCTGTACCACTCACACAATCAGAGGCGTAGACAGGACTGCAAGGGCACACGCCAGCCCTGTAGGTCCACCCTGTCCAGGGCAGGAGCCGTCAAATGCAGGTGGCTATGCAGCGCTGGACATGTGGCTGGACTGGGAAGCACAGTAGGTGTGAAACACCAGACTTAAAACAACAGGAGAGAAGAAGTAAAATACCTCAATAGCTTAAGTTGTACGTTATGTTAAGAATATTTTGGATAAACTGAGTTTAAAAAATCATTAAAATTAATTTCACCTGATTTTCTGTTTTAAAGTATGGCTTCTGGAGCATTCAGAGAACCACAGTATGTGGTGTTTCTCTTTGGAGGCTGGGCTCTGTACTCTGTGGCGGGCAGTCGGCTTGGCACAGTGGCCCTAGCCAATCACAGAGAAGCATTGGGTCACCCTTTGGGAAAGACACTTACCAGTCTGAGTCAATGCTTGCGTCAGGAAAGGCTTGCCCCAGTTGCCTTGCTGATGAGGTTGTTTGCAGAGAACCTGGGCTGGGAGGGCTCTAGACTCTGGCTTCGCTGTGTGCTACAGACTTACAGGTAACTGCCCCGGCCCCAACCCGCCTACCTCCAGAGGGTTTCTGTTCAGGGCAAGCACCTCTGTGGAGCCGAGTTGAGTAGAGCCTCTGCAGATGCAGCTGGCTCCCCGCCTGGCTCCCTCTGGCCTGGTCACACAGTTTTGATTCTTCAGGGGCACGCAGGTAGCTGTGCTTGGCTTGCTCTCTCCACGTGGACTGAGCCATAGACTATTCCCATAAAAAGCACTCTGGGCTTCCATCCTGAGGAGGAGGCATCTGTGAGCAGGGTTTTGAGAGGGAAGTCTTCTTCTTGTGTAATATTCCACCCTCCTTTGTCTCTGTAGGGAGCCTTGGTGTAATCAGGCAGTATTATCTTCTGGGTCAACATGTGGGGCTGGCCTGGTGCTGTTTGGGAAGGTCAACTTTCTTGAGCAAGCCATGGTGGTGACAGTGGCACAAGTAGACATGGCCATAGGCAGAGGCTCACTTGAGTGGCCAGGAAGGCCCACAGCCCTGACTTGGCCTGTGATGACTTACTTATGGCGCTCATGAGAACCTCTCTTAGGAACCTGCTGGGCTTCAAAATAAACTACCAGCCTGGGCCACTTCAGCAACAGACGGTAGTTTCTTAGAGCTCTGGAGACCACCTGTCCTTGGATCAAGGGGTTGGGCTTAGTTTCTTCTGGGGCAGCTTGGTCTGGCTCACAGAGGATGGCTCTTACACCATGCCCTCACAGGAGGTCTCCCTGGGTGTCTGCGCCCCAAGCTCTCCCTCTTACAAGGACATCAGTCATCGGGGAATCATATGACCTCAGCTGTAATTGCCTCTTCAAAGGCTACATCTCCAAATGTAGTCCTGTTCTGAGGTACCAGTGTTAGGACTTCAGTGTCTGAGGAGGTGCACTTTGGTCTGAACCCACCCATGGTCATACATGGTCTACAGCCACCACCCCTGATCAAATGTGGCTCAGAGACATGAGCTTCATGAGCCATGTGCTTGGGGCAGTGACCCCAAGAGGACTCTGAGATCACATGAGGACTCGGCACTGAAGGTGACACACACTTGCCAGGGCTGTGAAGGGGTGTGGGGAAATGAGGCAAAGGGAGGGCAGTGTTGAGTCGTGAATTTTCTTGTTAGGCCACAGGTACCACTGTCTGAACCTTAAAACCTGGAGTTCCTTATTTATTTATTTATTTATTTATTTATTTGATGCAGGGTCTTGCTAGGCAGCTCAGACTCGTAGTGATCCGCCTGTCTCAGCCTCCCGCCTCCCCCGGGGCTGGCACAGCATGTGGTAGCGGGAATCGAACTCAGGTCTTTGTGCTTGCCAGGCAGGTGCTTAGACCATTGAGCTATCTCCCCAGCCCCTGGACTTCCTTGTTAATTGAGCCACTGTGGCAGAGCCAAGCAAAAGTAGCCTTATGTTTTTGGGAGCAGGTGCTGTGGTCCAAGTGTTGAGGACCTAGTTAGAAGCATGCAGTAAGTGTGAGAATAAGCCCTGAACCAAGGGAGCAGTCAGGTCAGCAAGGAGGTGGAAGTCAGCAAAGATTCTGATTTCTGGGGAGAAGACCTTGAAGTTGGAAATTGCTGAGTAGACAGGTGCTGATGAGGATGACAGTGAAAGGCAGGTCAGCAATTCCTCTTCTAGGGACCTTTCCCACCCACACCCACATTTACAGCATCACAGTTCATAACATCTAACTCTCGGGACAGGCCTAAGTCCATCGGCAGATGATTGGATAAAAACAAGATAGTACTTACACACGTAAGTGGGGTCCCACTCTGCTGCTATAAAGAAGGATAAGTTTGAGTCACTTTTAGCAAGTGGGTGCACCTTGAGACCATAGTGTTAAGTGAAATAATCAGGCACACAGGCTTAAACATTATGTGAGCTTTCTTATATGAGAAACCCACAGTATCAGTGAGTAAAATAAAAGATAACAGAAAGCAGGGAGATGGAGCTTCTGCAAACGGAAAGGGCACTGATAGATGAGAGAGGGAAGGAACGAACGGGCCACAAAGGGGGCTGAGGCAGAAAGCAGGAAAATGTGCTATGGACACCCACCAGCTCCCCTCAGTGGGCACAATCACTATGGACTGCAAATCTGTACTAACAACAATTAAAATTTAACGGAAAGGAAAATGTAAGACATGAAAAGACCCTGGCTGGTTGGAGCAGAGAAATGGATTACAGTGGTGACAGGAAGAGAAAATGTGTGTCTGGTGTCATGGCGGAGGGAAGACGGGCTGAGTGCAAGAGGATCCCTTGGGTGTGGGGACCACTTACATGCTATGACTCAGAGGTCCAGAGTTACACACACACACACACACACACACACACACACACACACTACAAACCACCCACAGCGTCCAACCCCGCATCCCCAAAGGTGAATAAAGATCTGCTAGTGCAAGTCCTTGGTGTTCACAAGGGAACTGTCTCCTTGGTTTGTAGACACTATTTTTTAAAAACATTGGTCAAAATAAATTTTTTATTTTTTAAAGAGAATGCAAAATAGTGAAAAAAATTAGAAACAATACAGAATTTTACCAAACAAATAAATTCAATAATAATTGTATTGCATAATGCTGTCTTCAAATTAGTAGTTTAGATTACCAGATATAAGTATGCAAATTTGGCTTTAAAAAGTTATAAAAAATTAAAAAGGAGAAGAGAAAAAATTAAGTATTAATTGGTCCTTTCAGTTGACCAGCAGAAACCAGGAGTTCGAGTCTCCAAGCCATCCTGTGTATATACATACACATTTCTTTTTTAGTAGGCTCTTAGATCACCTGACAGGCCAGTTTCAGCTCGGAGCTTTTGATTGCATCCTCACTTACGCTTTTTCAGCCAGCGCCTGTCAGCAGCAAGGTGCGAGGCTCCTGCCACGAGGCTTGTGGGACAGGCGGCTTCCGCTGCGCCGGGGCCTCGGCGCTTCTGATCCGGTTGTCCCGGGAGAAGCACAGCGGAGAAGCAAACCCACGACCGGGTGGGAATGTGCTCAGTTTAGAGTGAGACAACAAGAAAACCTCTTTTGAACTGTGGCTGTTAGTCTTTAAAAAGAGGATGAGGCCACTCTTACTGTCTTTTCACATTCGTCTTTTCTTTTTACAATAATTGAAAATATACTCTGAAACCAAAAGTAGGTGACATGCACGCAAAGGCAGCACGTGTAACGCAGGATCATCGTTTGGCCTTGCATGATACACATGCCGCATGAAACAGTGGTGTTTGGCCAGACCTTTGGACTTTCCCCTTGTCTTTAAGACCTAAGCGATACTGAGCAGGTTTGGTCTGCGACCTCGACCTCGGCATCCTGGTCTGTCCACATCTGCCTGCAGCCCAGCCTCAGGGGAGGAGGCTGTTAGCGTGGACTTCTGCATACGCCCCCAGGGACGGTGACGGGTCCCGGAGCTCCTGTGCGGAGCTCCAACCACACGGGTGTGCTGGGGCAGGCAAGGGCACAGGAGATGTCTTCCCTGGGTAGTGACTTGGATGCTGCGTGGAAAGCTGCTGGGAAGTTTTGTTCCTTCCCCTGAGGGAAGATTGCACCCTGGACAGGTCCTGGCAGAGGGGAGGCCACGCCCCCTCCTCGGTCCCGCCCCGGCTCTGCTCAGGCCCCGCCCACTCGGGCAGCCCTCCCGCCCCAGGCAGTCCTGAGCCAAGTCTGGAACAGCTGGGTGGGCCCTCTGCCGTGGCCACACCCTCTCCCCGCCGGCCACGCCCCAGCACGCGCCTCCCGCAGGCGTCACCGCCCCGCCCTCCACGTGACAGCCTCGCCCTCCTTGCGCGCCGCGATTGGCTCTCCCGGACGGGGGTGTGGTCTGCCGGCCGCCCCGCCCCAGACGCGGCTGCAGTTTTTAAACCTCAACTGTAACTTCGCTCGGGACGCCGCCGCCGCCGCCGGCCCCCTAAGTGTCCCCGTGACTGCCGTCGCCCTGTCTAGGAAGGGTCGCCGAGGGTCCGCGGAGCCCAGCGGAGCTGCAAGCCGCCAGGGACAGCGGAGGCGCCGCCGAGAGCCTGAGGGGCTCGGTGAGTGTCCGGCCGGACCCGCGAGGGGCCTGGGGTCAGGGGACCGGGGGCCAGGGGTCCCGG